CAATTTCCAGCAATCAGGCCATTGGTAACTATATTAAAAAAGGAAAATTATTTGTTAATCACAGACTGTTGAGACCTAGGATTTGTGTGTTACAAAAGGGTGATAAAAAAACAGGTTCAGAAATAGCCTCATCTTTAACAAAGACTTCTGCTGCTGTGGTGGCAAGCCTAGAGCAGCCTGCCTCTGACCTCTCTTGGGTCCAGGAAATGACCTGTCGTCCCAGGGGTCAATATGTTCAACGCCGTAGCAGGAACAAATTACTTAACAGGATAAAATACAAACATCCTTCTGTAGGGGAGGAAGACATTTCCTCTTCCCAAATGTGGGTTTGTCTGGCCAGAGAGTGAATTAAATTCACATGAGACAGAATAGCAAGAGAAAATTAAACAAAGCTTTATGAGGAACCATGGCCCGGGGCCTTTCTTCCCGAAGGAAGAAAGGGCACTGAAGAAGTGGGGTGCACAGATTGGTTATATACCCCCAAGCTGGGTGTTTCACATGTGATTGAAATGTCCCTCCCACAATAGTCACGAGATTGCTCTGTCAGCCCAGTGCTTGATGGACACAGCAGATAGTGGTCTGCTATCTCAGTGGGCGTAGCAGGAGGCAAGTCTATTGTCTGGAGCTGGGTGGTCACAGGTGAGCGCAGCAATCAGTTCCTAGCCTAAGGAAAGATGCTTAATCCTTAAAGAAATGCCAAAGTTGGGAGGGGGAGGGAAGTCAGTTACAGGAGGTTACCAGAGAAGCACAATAAAATGTAGATTTAAGTCCTTGACTTTGGTATTGATTAAGAGTTTCTAGAGAGAAGGTCATCTCCTTTCTTCTTCCTGGTACAGCAAGGGAGTCACCTTTTACAGATAGAGATTTACCTTACAAATGTAAAAGTGTCCTAACAAAGGGCAAGTGCCATTCCTCAGAGCCTCCTTACCTGTCTCAGTTTATCAAAAGCAATCAACCTCAAATAATCCTGATGCCAAAGAGACATATCTTGGGGTGGCCAATTCCAAGTCCCCACACTTCCAAATGAAGACCTATCTTATCTCCCACATCCATGCGGTGACCTGCCCGCTGCTACCCTCTGTGGAATTAAAAAAGGGGCGACTCCTTCAAAGAAACCAATGTTCTAAATTCAAACCTGCTCCCTTCATTCCATGCCCCTTCCCCAGGACTCCACTTCCACAGAGAATCAGGTAAAACATTCACTACATTCAGCACGTTGGAGCACAAGGAAATTTTATCACAGTGTGAGAAACCTGGCTACAGATTCTGTGTGATATATGTTAACATCTTTTATTAATTTATTCAGTAAAGATTTATAGGGCCCTCTTTGTACTAGGTGCCACCTTAGGGCATCAGGAGATCACAGTGTTTCCTTTCATGTTGCTTATGGGCTATTTCTGAAAGGACTGAAGAAGACATATATGAGTGACTGTAACCACAAAACTTGGCAATTTGGGATCACAATATAGTAGAGATCATTTAAAGATTGAAGGAGGGTCCGGCCCTGTGGCCAAGTGGTTAAGTTCACGCTCCACTTTGTCAGCCCAGGGTTTCACTAGTTTGGATCCTGGTCACGGACCTAGCACCACTCACCAAGCCATGCTGAGGTAGTGTTCCACATAGTAGAACTAGAAGGACCTACAACTAGAATATACAACTATGTATTGGGGGGCTTTGGGGAGAAGAAAAAAAAAAGTTTGAAGGAAATTGATGGTACTGATTTAACATTGCTTTCTATGCAGACTTTGAATTTCTTTCTCAGGGTTCCGAACGTATAAAAGGGACTGTGGAGAGCAAATGCATGGCATATGCTCTGTGGATATTTTCTTTTTAACCTAGACTAAATTCAAACGCAATTTTTTCCTATAGGTCTTTGCGTAAGAGAATCTGAAAACCAAAGTGGATGTTATTTTCCAACATGGTTTTGTAAAATACAAAAAATTGGAGCAAATAATTTTTTTGTTGCCACTCTTTTTTTTTTTATGACTTCACAAAAGGACACAGAGCTGTGACTTAAGGATCCCAAAGTATACGCCTCAGAGCATTTATGATCTCAGAGTAGATAAATAACCTGTTCGATAATCTCTCTCAAATATGAGCTATTTTAAATAGACTTCAGTGGATGTCCTATGTATGTATGTATGTATGTATGTATGTATGTATGTATGTATGTGCCTGATGTACCTGGAGTGAGTCAGGTAAAGTTGTCATCAACTGGGAAGACTTGAAGAATGGACTTTTTTTTCCAGAGTGGTTCCTATCATTCATCGTGGGCCTTGCCCACTAGAGTAACATGTATATAGAACCAATATTTGTCTTGGAAAAAAAGATCTTTGAATTCTTCCTGGGAATTGCATAATTGTTATTTGAACCTCAAAATTCTGTTATGAATGCATCTGAAAAAATATGCCAGGCTCATGATAATGGTTGACTGTTTTAGCTATTAAAAACAAATACACATACAAAACTAGAACTCCAAACTCAAATCTCATTATGGCCCCTATAGAACATTTAATTCCCTAGGAAGATGGGCCTGTCTTCTCTCTAGATCTGCTAGTATGAATAAATTTCAAAATACTCCGCCGACCCTGCCAAAGGAGCTGAAAAAAACTGAGCCACTGATGAAGCTTTATGAGCTTGTGAATGTCTACAAAATGAAATACTAGTTTTGTGGTAGTTGATTCAGAGAAATGGCCTCAGGAAATGAGTAACCCTGTGTTTCTACCTGCTTATCATAACTGTTCCTTTTCCAGAGAAAAAGAAAAAATATTTAAAAAATTTTTCTATATTCCAGGCACTGTGCCTGGTGTGCCAGGTATTGGGCATGTAACGATTGGAAAACTTACATTCTGCCTTCAAGGAACTTAAAATCAGCCTGAGCACCTGCCAGTATGCTGTAATCAGACATACCACTTGAATTTATCCAAAGATTAAAAAGAAGGTGAGCCAAAATAGCCAGCCTTCCAACCCTTAATGATCATCAGTGGATCTTTTCTGGGATGCTGGCAGCAAAGTAAAGCTACCCACACAATCACAGAGTCCATCAAATTCCAGTTGACTAGCCAGGTCTAGATCCTTTTCAAAAATGTATCCTCCTTGTCCCCAAAGAAGTCATCTTTTTCTCTGATCCCTGGTCTTTAAAGAAACGGGAGTCTCTCTGATTGGTTCTAGAGCTCATCACCCTTTTTGAACAGAACTGCTTTTCTGGGCAGTTTTTTGGGCCAAGGCACTATCCTTTTTGGTTCAAGACTCTCAAACAATCCATATTTGACTAGCCTGATTCAATTTTTTAGTGTGATGCCCTCCAGCTCCTGCCTTTCTTAACTTAACTTGTTGTATATTCCTTAAACTTTTGTAAAAACCCTCTTTATCTTTTCACACACACACACTCCCTACTGCTCTAGGAAGGCTTCTTGGTCTCACAATAAATTAGGATATATAAGTATGTATATATTTATATGATATGTGAGAGGTAAATAATGATGCACACAGCTCACAAGTAAGTATTCCCACCTAGCATTGTGCATTCATTTTGTCTGGGAAGAATTTTCAAGAAAGGTTTTAGAGATATAGGAAAGGCTAGAAGGGGAAATAGTTTCTGGCACAAAAGATGAGAATGGGAAACCAGAATGCAAGTGATTTAAAACACACGATTTCATTTTCCATGAGCTTTAGAGATAAAAACTATTATATCTCTTTATTTTAAAGTCAGAAAAATGACACATTTTTACCACAGAAAAAGGCAAAAGGAAAACATTTTTTAAAGGTATAAAGATTACAGGAAAAAATCAACTAAATAACTCAGTATTTTTTAATTTTTTTAGGAAGAAATAAAGCAGAAAGATAACTGCAGGTCATGACAGAATCAGCTGATAAAATATGCCTTGGAAGAAAAATCTGTGATTTAGGAAAAAGCTGGTATTACAATAATTTCTTTTCATAATCTGACCTGACTGCACCCCTTGGAGCACATTCCATCTCTCATGCAATCAGCAGTGGCTCCATCAAAGTCTTCCCTGTATAAATATTAACTCATCTTCAAAGAAGCGTGCAAGTACGAAATTCAAATCTATTTTGCTTTTCTAGGCAGGTAATCGATTATATCTGTTTGGTTCCCTATTGCTGCCTCTCTGTGACCTTCAGAACTGAGATCACTAAAACCCTAGAAGTTCAGCCTTGATCAGTTTCTCAGGCTAGGCTGGTACCCCGGGACTTGGGGATTTTTGTAAGGAGCCCCAAACTAACAGCACTCTGTCTCGGCTTCTGTTCAGATTGCTGCAAGTCTGGCTCTGACCTTACTGTCTAATAAAGAACGTAGGCTCACAATTTGTATTCTTGTCCTTCCCATTTCCATAAATGAGCCCCAATTTTTCCCCTTCTCCAAATCATCCCACAATTGTAATTCTGCCCATGAGCGCCAGCCTCTCTGTAGGTACCTGCTACCCACTGTCTGAACTTCCTAATGGCGTGAAACAGATCCTGCCAGATCCCACCCACTGCCTACTGTTGAATCCCACCCCTTCCCCAATGCTAACTTCCTCCATGCTCTACAAGTTTCTCCCTGTCACTTGTCCTGCCTCCCAAGGGCAGCCTGGTCTCTAGAGTCCACCTCCCTACAAAGGCCTTCCATGTACACTGAGTGAGCAACATAAGCATTCCTCCCAGAATCATCTAGTCATTTAGGCTGAGCTTTGTATTGTTTCCAAAGAATGGTTGCACAGGTCTTCTTATGATGAGACACATTCTTCGATACAGAATGACTCTCAGGGATCATGTATTCCAACTTTCATAATAACACAGATAAATAATCTAAGATCATGTACCTTATTTATACATATTATACAAAGCAACACTCAGGGAATATAAATGTGTTATTAGATATTTCTGATCCTACATATCTCCCAAGACTAGTAGCTTCCACCCTAGACTGTAGCATTGCAATTAAAATGCACAGGTTATCCAATAGTAAGGGCTGCAGAGCAATTGAATCAATTGATATTTATTTCCTCTAGGCTGTGGAAATCCAGAATACATGAAATCAAATTCCCAAATAAGTTGGGAACAAAAGGTGTTAAGCACTCGAGAATGATATGTGCTAAATATTAGGATTCACACCACCAGAACCATAGGAGTCATCTGGGACTCAAGCTGGGCTTTGAAGGAGCAAATGGATCCTTCAAAATGGATAGGAGAAGAGAGATGAGCAAACCAGGAGCAAATATCAGGGAGTGGGGATTTTTCTGTTGTTGTTATGTGCTGTCAAGTCGGCTCCAACTCCTGACACTCTGAGTGAGTGATGTCCGCAATGTCCTGTCCTCAATGACCCTACTCAGCTTCTGTAGACTCGTGCCTATGGCTTCCTTTATGGAGTTGATCCCTCTCAGATTTAATCTTCCTCTTTTCCTGCTGCCTTCTACTTTTCCCAGCATATTGTCTTTTCCAAAGAATTTTGCCTTCTCATAATGTGCCCAAAGTAGGACAGCCTCAGTTTTATCATTTTTGCCTCGATGCAATAATTCAGGTTTAATTGGCTCTAGGACCCACTTGTTTGTCTTTCTGCCAGTCCGCAGGGTCTGCAGAGCTCTCCTCCAATACCATATTTCAAATGAATCAATCTTTTTCTTGTCAGCCTTCTTCACTGTCCAGCTTTTGCACCCATACATAGTAGTTGGGAATATGACGGTGTGGATAATCTTGGCCTTAGTCTCTAATGAAACTTCCTCACACTTGATGACCTTTCATAATTCTTTCATTGCTGCCCATTCAGCCTGTCTTCTCTTGATTTCTTGGCTGCGGTCTCCATTTAAATTCCTGACTGACCCAAGGTAAACAAAATCTTTAACAATTTCAGTGTCATCATTGTCTGCATTAAAGTTGAGTAGTTCTTCTGTAGTCATGATTTTTGTCTTTGTTGATGTTTGAGTGCAGTCCTGCTTTGGCAGTTTTTTCTTTCACTTTCATCAGAAGTCATTTCAAGTCATTGCTGCTTTCTGCCAATAAGATGGTGTCATCTGCATATGTTAGATTGTTGATATTTCTTCCACCAATTTTCACTCCTCCTTCATCTGAATCTAGCCCAATTTTTCATATGATGTGTTTTGTGTACAGATTAAACAAATAGGAGATAAAAACTCACACTTGTCTGACACCTTTGCCTATAGGAACCCATTCTGTCTCCCCATATTCTGTTCAGACAATGGCATCTTGTCCACAGACAAGTTAAGCATCAGGACAATCAAGTGCTGAGGCACACCCATTTCTTTCAAAGCAGCCCACAGCTTTTCATGATCCATGCAGTCAAAGGCTTTACTGTAGTCTATAAAACCTAGTCTAACCTTCTTCTGAAATTCTTTGGAGCACTCCAGTAGCCAATGAATAATTGCAGTTAGATTTCATGTGCCTCTACCTATTCGAAATCCGGCTTGGACATCAGACATTTCCTGCTCCAGGTAAGATAAAAGCCTTTGTTGTAGCACCTTGAGCATTACTTTACTTGCATGAGAAATTAGAGCAATAGTCCTATAGTTACTGTACTCCTTAGCATCTCCTTTCTTGGTGACTGAGATATATACTGAAGGTTTCTAGTCTGTAGGCCATTATTTTGTTTTCCATATTTGTTGGCATATTTTTGTTAGGATTTTGACTCATTCAGTCTCTGTGTCTTGAAATAATTCTACTGATATCCAATCTACCCCTCATGACTTATTTCGTCCCAGCACTTTCAGGGTGACTTTCACTTCACTTTGTCAATGCAAATAATCCATAATCAATCTATAAATCAAAATTGGGGTGAGTTTATTATGAGCCAGATCTGAGGCCTAGCCCAGGGCCTTCCTTCCCAAGGAATGAAGAGCACCAAAGAAGTGGAGTGTATGAGTGGTTATATACTGTCTTGGAACAAAGAGCATACATCCCATATGACAGGAATGTCCCATCTACAATTGTCACAAGATGCTTAGGTGGCAGAGCAGATCACTGGTTAGCAGGTCAGTGGTCACAAGGTGAGCACAGTAGATTGGTAATTAATCCTTAGTTCCCAGGAAGAGATGCTTACCCTTAAAGAAATGCAGATATGGAGGGAAGTTACATGCCTATCTTTAATGGCATCATTCTTGTCTTTAGGACATAGTAAATATTTAAAGCAGATATATAATGCATGCTCAATAGGCCATATCAGGTCCTTTTGGAAAAACAAGATCAGGCTGAATTAATTTCAAACCAAATGGCTTCCTCATATACTCCAGTATATCCTATTGCTTTTCATTTGCTTATCATTTTCCCCTTTTGATCTATAATCTTTCAATAGAAAGCATTGATGATCAAAATATTGTCCCTCAGTGCCAGGGTGGTTGCTGCCTGCCCTGGGTCCATCAAGTCACTTGGTGCTAGGCTTTTATCTCATTTATTTGCCCATTTATTCATCTTGGGAGGAAATAGTCAGACAGGCATAGAGGTATACGTTAACAGAGGAAGCATTTCATAGGTCATGTAACTTTAGGTTGTTGCATAAACATTGTAAATGTGCTTTTACATGACTTCTTATGCCCACATTGTTTACAATTATAAAAGACTTATTGAGACATTCACCTCTTTTTTCATGTGCTTTAGCAGAGATGACACATTGGAAGATTCATCACATATAAAAGCATATCATTCAGTTTGAATGAGTGTATATGTACTGTAGGGGAGGAAGACAAATCCTCCATCCTCTGGGTCCTTCTGGCTGGGATAAAAATTAAATTGACATGAGACAGAATAAAAAAAGAAAATCAAACAAAACTTTATAACATGTATACATGGGAGAAACTCAGGAAAACTGAGCAACTCAACAAAATGGCTGAGCTGCCAGCTTAAATATCATCTTCAGCTAAAGATAAAGGAAGGTGTTGGGAATAGTGGTTTGGGAATTCAAAGGAGAGGAAGGTAATTCACATGGAAGTGGAAAAGCAAAAGTTTAGTAAATAAAGCTTTGATAAGAATGGGCTTAGCAAGGACGCTCCCAGTCTACAGATACCCAGAGTTATCTCTGGTGATGGCCTGTCCTGGGGGTGGGCCTTTTATCTTAAATTTTTTTAGTCAGTTTGGGGAAGGTCAAAGTTTCTTTCAGAGTCTTTTGTTCCTAAAAATAATCAAGCCAGAGGGGTACATTTTGAGATGGCAGTTCTGATCCCCCACAGCACCACCTTGGGATACAGTTAAAATATCCAAAGCTATTCTATGTGGAAGGACAGCCTTTTTCACTAAAGATGTTTTAGTATTTAACAAAGCTACTCCTGTATGACTATCATTAAGGGCTTGTCAAATAAATTTAGTCAGGGCTTCTACATGTGATAATGACATCTTACAGCCCCAAGGAAGAAACAAATACAGCTGCCAGGTGGCCACATGGGTGGAACATTGAGTGAGTCTATCTGGCCTTAAAGAGAGGAAGATTTGCAACAGGCGTTAGCTAAGTGTGACTCCTTCCCTGCATCCAAAGGAAGGTCAAGGTGCAGTTTTTTAGCCATCCAAGCAGTAGCCAAGGCCAGAGATTTGTTCCACATCACCACTGAATTCCATTAGGAGCCACCTGATAAATGCCTGGCCTTCAAGACCAGTCTGTTCCAAACCAATCACTTTTTTAAGTATGATAGTATTCTGCAAACATTTGTGGGGGATTGGAATTGGCCACCCAAGATATATCTCTTTGGCATGAGGGTTATTTTGGGCTGGTTACTTTTAAAAACTGCAGACATGAAAGAAACTCTGAAAAGTAGAAGTTACCTTTTGTAAGAGACATTTACATTTGTAAGGGAAATCTCCATCTGTAAAGGTGTCTCCCTCTACCAGGAAGAAGGAGAAAGTCCTTCTTCCTTATCAATGCAGAAGGGAAGGACTTAAATCTGCATAATAACCTTAGTCTTGTTTACTGTACTTTTCTAGTAATCTCCCATAACTGACTCCCCTGACCCCCAAGATCCTCCTTTGTAGCTGAAGATGGTAGCTTTGTAGCTGAAGAGAACCTCCACCATTTTGGTGAGTTGCTCAGTTTGCCTGAGTCTCTCCCATGTATACATGTTGTAAAGCTTTGTTTAATTTTCTCCTGTCATTGTGTCTCATGTGAATTTAATTTGCAGCCCAGCCAGAAGGACTTAGAGTGGATAGAGGAAATGTTTTCCTCCCCTACACCTTAAATGGAATAATTATAAAATAGGTATATAGTTTAAGCATTACAAAGGTTTAAATGAGGACCTATAAGGTTGAGAATACAGGCCTGGTCTGGAGTCTTGGGATAGCTATCTGCAACAGATGCCATCCACTTCTCATCCTGGTTTGGAAATATTTGCATTGGTCTGTTGAAGTCAGCTATTATAAATAGGAACTGAAACTCACTCAGGTGGAGAAGCCTCTTTTTTTTTTTTTTAATTTAAAATGAGAAATGTGAATCCATGAATCTAGGCCTTCTGATTCTGTAACGTATTAATTTGTTAAAAGTACCTGGTATGATCCTTTCCATCAGGGCTGCAAAGAGTCTTTTATCTGGTGTCTTTTCTAATAAACAAAATATCCAGGTTGTAGTTCATGATCCTAAAGGTCTTCGTCTCCCAGGAGCTCACTGAGAAAAGAACCAGATACCAATCTCTCATTTCTTTTAAGTATATCAATGAGATCTTGGAAATAATTAAGATATTTTGTTTAAGCAAAGTTGGTCCACACATTCCTTCCTCTAATTGCATAGGCTGTCCCATTATTATCTCAAAAGAAGACAGCTGATGCTTACCAAAGGGTATAGATCTAAGATTGAGGGGAACTCGTAGAAGAACTTTTGGCCATGAGAGATTAAATGCTTCTGAAAGCTTTGCCAATTGAGTTTTGATTGTGCCATTAGTTAAAATGTTGTGTTATTGGCCAAATATCACAAATAGATTTAATTTTTTGTCCAGTGAAATGAGTTCCCCGGGCACTGTGTAACTCAGTAGGAATTCCTCAAACAGGAATTATCCTTTCCAATAATAATGTACCTAAAACCATTGCTCTTCTGCAAGAAAAGGTCTCAACCCAATGTGAGAACATACGGATCATTATAAGATATATTTCTATACTTGAGATGGTGGCATTTGGACAAGGTCCGATTGCCGTACCTCAAAGGGTCCCTTAGAAAAGGGAAGGTGGCTTCATGATCCATGAAATAGTTTCCCTAGATTATTTTCTGGGTATACAGCACGATGAGTGTAGGATTTATGAGCCACTGTGGGAGAAAGTATCTAAAAGTATTGCTTTCCCCCTTTTGTTGCCACCTTTGTTTCTCTTCTTCCATGGCAATTTCTTGACCCTATAGGAGGAAATCTTCTTACTGGGTAAGTAGTTAATAGAAAGTAGCAGGCTTTCTCAAGGCTGGACTGCCTACCTAGCTTGACAATGTCCTTGCTTACTATTTAAGTAAGACCCATCCATAAACCAAGTTAAACAATAGAATGCAATTGTGGTGCATTCTTCTTCTTGTAGTGCTGGAAGCAAGGTAACAGGGTTAAGATAGTGAATAATATTTACCTCTGCAATACAACTTAAGAAGGTTTATCATCATTTACTTGACAATGCTTCCCATGTAATTTAGCATACCAAACAAGCCTAAATGGTATCTCTGTCTTCATAGGAAGAGAGAACAAATTACTTTGAGAAGTCTCAGGCGCCCTCTGAAAATTCTCAGAGAAATTTTTTCTAAGTCCAAAGAAAGATTTCATTTAGGATGTGAATTTTGTGGAGCTTGACAAAAATATCAAGAGGGTTTAAAACACTTATTCAAACAAGATCAAGGGGTTGCTGATCTTGTTGCCATGAAATAAGGCACCCTCTGAATTATCCATTTAACCAAAGTAAGACTCACTCAAAAGTAAGGAAAACATTTTGTAATCTCTTTATCAAAAGCAGACTAAAATTTCTGGAAAATTATCCTAAGAAAGAGAAAACCAAATTTTAATTTTTGCAACAGCTTACTTTTTATATTAAAACTCATTTAACTGAATTCATTTTGATCTTAGCCAACTTGACCATGCACAAAACTCTTTCCTCAGGGTTGTCTTCAACAAACCTTCTATCACTTTCCTTTTACATTCATAATTTGTCTCATGCCTTTCTTTTTTTTTCCTCCTGGTACATTAGGACAAATGTATCTTTCTTAACAAAAGAAAGACAAATATGTCCATTCTTTATAACTTCTTTACTGAAAACATAGATCTTTCCTTGAATACAAAGATGTTTTCCTTACTAATTTTTAGTAGCTTTAATCACATACACTAGTTAGAATTTTTAACCCTTATAGACCTTAACTTTTAGTGAAAAGTAAGAAGTAAGTAATTATTAACTGTCTTTTATATTAGCACTCTGTGGCTTTGCAAGTTATAAATGCTTTTTTATAATTTCTAAAAACGTGTTACTTCACAGTACGGTTTTAATAAAACACAAGACAAATGTTTTTTAATAGACCCAAACACCTTTTAGTAGATAAACTTATACATGTTTAGCAATAATGTTTCAGTATTTTATCTTATTTGAAAATGAAATGAACTAGACATTCAGTGAATTTTTAACATTTAATTTCATCTACCAAAACTTCAAAGTTTCAAGTTACCAGAGAGATTTTGGAAGTTATCTTAAACATATATGCCAAAACACACAATTGTTTTTAAAAGTTCACTCAATACTTTTATTTTTCTCACATCTATTTAGTTTACTTGTTCCCAGTAATTATTATAGATTGCCTACAAAACTTTATGAGACATTAGGCAAAATTAGCCATCATTTTAAATTATTATTTTCGCCAAACCAGTTTTGTAATAGAGATAACATCACCTTATCTGACCATAAGTGTAGAATAAAGGCTGTATGTCTCCCTCATATCCAATGCTGATAACTCTGAAAACATGTTCATTTTAGTCAATCCAACAAACTTAAATAAGTTTTTATTTACTAAAAATTATTCCATATCACATTAACTTGAAAGACATTTCCTTTAGTTTCAATTACATTTGGAAATAATTTAACAGAGCTCTTTAGAAACTATACCACCTGGAGGTAAAAATATCACACATACATAATAGACGTATAGACACACATGCTCAGAGACTTCACAAATATTGTTTCAAAATTACTGCCATGAATCAGATAAAACAATACAAAGCTCCCTAGTTATGAATCCAAATTTTGTTTTAAGCCTCTTCTACTAATATTTGTGGATAAGACACCTAAGAAGCTAGATTTTTGGTGAGGCTGCTCTTATGGCCATTTTTCTTGCCTTTTTTCCTTTTTTTCCCTTCAGTTTTAGGAATTAGTGATGGGCTAGACAACAGTTCCCAGAGAGGTGAGGTGATAATCCTTTTTGAGATAAAGGAACTGGTGGAATCTGAACTGCCTCTAGAGCTGCTTTTTAGTCTTGCAAGGGTTGGTAAGTTGAAGACAATTGTTCTACCTGTCCAACTATATCACCATAGTTTGCTTTTTTCCCTCTGGGTGCTTAGTTTTATTTTAACTTATGGAGGAAGGACTGGAAAGGACATTCCTATCAGGCTCTGAATATCAGCTTTCAGTTTGGACAAATTCCTGTTCATAAATTGCTAAACCTTTCAAATACCTTGTCAGGTTTCAGCTAGGACAAAAAGTAACCACCTGGTGGTATTGAACAGTTCCAGGAATCTTTAGCATAGCAGTTTCCCAGAAAAATCTCTCAGAGTCTCATTAACTCTGGGAGTAGATTACAGGGATGTCTATAAAGTCATGGCCTAATATATTATCCTTTATGTACCTTTTATAACAATTTTTATTAGCTTTTTGCAACAAAACTTTCAACAAGGTTATTTGGGAACTTTGGATTCTTCGCTTTTAAGTGCACTTCTTAAATGCTCTTATCTAATTGGAACATCCCTTGTAATGGCCAATGCAATTCCCCTGAGGCTGGGAGCAATTTGGTAGGACCCTTAGCCAAGAATGGAATGCAACCCACATTTCTGTCTGATCATCTCTGACAGCAAAATGGGGTGCAACCACATTTTGTCTGACCATATTTTGGGAACTCAGCCTAATGATTATGAAGCCAAGACCTCAGGATATGAAACAAGCTTGATAAGACATTTTTTTTTTTTTTTGCTCTTCTTTGTAAATATTTAGTTTCCAGAACCTTTAGTTTGAACAATTGTACTAGAAGTTGGTGAGCTCAACTCTTTAAAGATTTCTCTGTTACCTGGCTCTTAAAGAGGAGCCCTACAGTGGCCACTGTAATTTTATGTTATCCTGGGTTATCTTGCCAGCCATTTACAGCTATTCTTATTTTGTTAAGCACTTGCAAGTTTCAGCCTGAAGCCAGCTGGAGTTCTGAGGGGAGGCTGCCCATTCAGTAACTAGTTGGCTTTTAGAAGCTTGATTTACCATTTTTCTTTTAGTTTCATTGTACTATAAAGTCTGAACAATTTCCAGGGACAGTGTAGAGGGTCGGAAATGTGCTGATTGGGAGTGTTACTCCCTAAACGAAGGTCATAAACATTCTCTTAAGTGCTTTGGTTTCTCCCACCGGCAGTCTTAAAACTACACGGGGGCTTGGAGTGTGTGGGTGACCAAGCCTCATATGTGCTTCCCCGGACCAGCCTTTAATTAATTAACGTGAGTGATAGTGGAGTTCCCTATGGGCCTGCTATACATCTCAAGGCCCAACCTCAGACACTCCCACTAGGTTCTCAGTAACCTGAGAACACGGCACTGCTGGGAGGAGCTGATGACCCTTCTCTTTGGAGCTGAACAAGTTCAGACTCTCATTTCTCTATCATGCAGTTTGTTCAGGCTTTGTAAACACACTTCTTTCCAATTTAAAGCCAAATTAAAAAGCTCAGCCTGCCCCAGTCACTCCAAAGTTCCCCCTAGGCTCCCCTGGCCTAGGAAATTCCTCTTAGGCTTCTCTTTCCTAGGAATTTCCCTCCTAGTTTCCTCTGGGTATGTACCAGTACCCCCTTAAGACACCTAGTCTTAAGATTTGAAACAGCTCATATAAACTTTGAACCATTGACTTATATTAAGGAGGTCTGGATTTCAGGAGAACTCACTGGGGTCACCTGAAGAATGCAGTGATCCAGAAGGGCTCAGTGGTCCCTACTGGTACCAAACACTAGTTCAGTGCAGATTTCAAGTGGTCTTTGGTGGGTTTCTCTGAAATCCTGCTGTGACAATGCCAAGAAATGTTGATGTGAATAACCCATAATCAATCTATAAATCAAAATTGGGGTGAGTTTATTTAGGAGCCAGATCTAAGGACTACCCTGGCACATTCCTTCTCCAAGGAAGGAAGGGCGCCAAAGAAGTGGGGTGTCCAGAGTGGTTATTATATACTGTCTTGGAACAAAGAGCATACATCCCATATAACAATTGTCACATGATGCTTAGCTGGCACAGCAGATCAGTGGTCAGCAGGTCAGTGGTCACAAGGTGAGCACAGCAGGTTGGTAATTAATCCTTAGTTCCCAGGAAGAGATGCTTACCCTTAAATAAATGCCAATCTGGAGGGAAATTACATCCCTCTTTAAGGGTATCATTCTCATCTTAGGGATGTTTAAAGCAGATATACAATGCATGCTC